GTCTGGCCTGTTAGTGAACAAAAAAGAAGATATAAAATCCACAAAAAATAGGATACACTCCGTAGTTGACACCCACGTCTAGAAAACAGTATAACATACAGTTCTGATCAATAAAATTAGTGTAGTATTGTAAACACTTACACATCAGCTTGCATGTAAACTTCAGAACCAAGATTGACTAGTGTTCTAAGACTTGTCACACTATTCTTCTCAAGATTCTCAATGTTTCGTCTCAAATCCGAGCTTAAATAAACAAAAGATGAGTCGAGGATACCCAAAATAAAATGGAGACATTGCAAAAGAACACTTAACAAATACATTAAACCCAATCACTCAAGGATGAAGGAACCATGATCAATATCATGCTATAGTTTATAACTACTCTTAAGATAGCAAGTGAAAGAATGATAAACTTGAATTGACTATATAGAACTTCAATTCAAGCGAGACTATAAGGATACAATATCTTTTGTTGCTCGAAAACCTTATCCCTGCAAAATTACACGCATACATATATAATTGTAATACAAAAAAAATACCGGTGTAAGCAAGAACAAAGTGTGGATAAAATAATGTATGACACAATATTCCCCGATGTCTTGTTCACATAGATTACACTTTCATTATTACAGGAGCTACTATGTCATAATTCCTAAATACTCCATAACCAATTTTCTGGGATTGACCCTTTGAAGTGGCCAATCAATTATTGTAACACTCTAACCATTAAGACTACATATAAAAGTTCAGCCTGTCTAGATAGAGGGTTTTGGAGGGCTTATGTCTCGATTTTTATAATGTTTCTTAAAACAACAGAAAAAAGTGATTGAAATTATATAAGACCACATTTTATGTTAATCTTTTAAATATTTATAAAATCTCAAATAAAGATTAGCCCTCCAAAATCTTCCCCTCTAAAGCCACTCATTCAAGGAGACCCTAAAACGACTAAAACAAATTGGAGAAGGATAACACGGAGGATATACTTGTAGCATACCGCTCACCAATAGCACGGACAAGATCTGGTTTTAAACGTTTATCCACAAATTCCTCATACGTTCGTACTTTCTCTTGTTTAACTGCATCCATTTCAACCCTACAGCCCTACACACTGATAAAATTAAAAAATCAAGAATCAATTCAACTAATCAGGAAATCAGCAACAGAATAAGTTGTGAATGTTATTGTTATGGATGTGGTGGAGAAGAAAAAGAAGAATACAAGCTATGGGTGATTAATGATTGGGTAAAGAACCGAGACTTCTCGCCCTAAGAGAAGGATGGGGTGCAGGCTATACCATTACACATAGGATTATTTAATGAATGGACTTCCTCTATTTTGCTAGTATTAGAGTATTTCTAACCTATTAAAATATACTCCCTCATTCTGGATTTAGATGCCCAATTTTTTGTTTCTGTTTGTCCCGAATTAGTTTTCCACTTTCCATATTCAATAAAGAAATCATCATTAGTTGTCTAAAATATCCTAGCAATGAGGTGCATACATTCTTGACATGAATGAGCGACAAGCTCATTTGAAATATTTATTTGTCATTAAACTCATTTCTTAAAAAAAGAGTTTTTAGAAAGTAGAAAAATAACACTGATAATGATCATAGTATTATTAATTTGATTTTTCCTTCCACAACACTTCTCTCTGTCGAGAGACTCTAGCGTTAGACGAATATCAGTTACGAGTTCCTAACTATTTGTGTTATTAACAAGAAAAGCCATAAGAGGCATTAAAATTGCATAACACTAAACTGATTAAAGTGAAGACTAGTTTTCAACCATTGGGTTAAATTGATTAAATTGCATAACCTAACTATTTGTGTTATTAACAAGAAAAGCCATAACAGGATTGAACAACCATTGGGTCCCTTACATCCAAGTCCCGTCTCAAACAACTTCAAAAGTCATAACGTTTAACAATAAACTAAAATTAATATTTGGATAGTACCATAAGTAATACGTAGAAATAAAGTCAGGAAAATAATGTTGTTCACAATTGTACTGGCCTAGTTTTCATATTATGAAAGTGAACTATAATTACATCATCACTAATGGTAGAAAAGACATCTCGACATCTTTCTCAACATAAGTTACTAAGCAATCATTCAACCAGTGATCACAAATTTTATTGCACAACTCATTCTTCACGAACTTCATTCCGGAGAAAGAGTGTTCACACTTGCTATTGCAACAGGAGTATCAATGGCAACTTTATGAGAGTATATATGAAACCATACGTAAGAGACTTTTTAGTGGACACCATTTTCATTGAGAGCTCAAGACAACAACAACAACCCAATTAAATCACACAAGAGTAGGGTCTGGGGAGGGTGTGTGTACGCAGACCTCACCCCTACTCGAAAGTAGAGAGGCTATTTCCAAAGAGACCCCCGGCTCAGCGTCGAATGTTGAATTGATTGACTAAATGCTACTTCATTAATTAAAGAAGTTTAGAGATCCATTTTGCTTTATTCCATCACACTCCAAAGCCAAAAAAGTAACTTTTAGAGCTCAAGAATACTCTTTAAGTCACTGAAATCCCTTTGCATTTTGAATTCTATGAATAAAAAAATTTAATGTTAATTACTCAATTTAGACATAAATTGAACATTAATACTTATCACTTGAAATCTTTAATCATTTTTTCATTGAAGGAAAATCTTTAATGAATGAGTAGTGAATAAAAGTATAAATTTTAAAACTATTATACATTACTAATCATATATAATTAATATCAAACTTGATACTACCATAAAAATTTATTTTCAAAAAAAAATTTAATTACCTGTAGGCTTTCGGCGGCGAGACCAGACGGAGGCACGGACACGGGGAGCCGGAGACAATGAGGCGGAGTCGGCGGCGAGACACTGAAGTCGTCCGACAGGTGACGGCCAGAGTCGCAGACAATCGTGGGCGGCAGGCTAGGGTTGAAAATCAAAAATTGGGAATTGGGGCATTTGGGCGAGAACCGCTGACTGCTGATATGCGTTTTAGTTAATCCAAAGACGACGCCGTTTTTCTAAATTAAATTAAAATTCAAATACGGAGTAAATATTAGTATAAAAATAATTTCATTAGATTGGGAAAACCCATACTAAATTGGCATCAAGGTCACTTTCTTAAATTGGAGGTCAAAAGTTTGAACATTGATCAAGACAATAACTCTATGCTTTAATAGATTGAAAATGTATGAACATGTAATCTATTGTAATAAAGTTTTTAGCGGTAGTTGATTATTAAAGTTTATCCAATTTGACTAGTTTCATTCCAAAATAGAATAAATAAAATAAACCTAATTGTTAGGCAGAAAGGCAAACTCATGCATCATGTCATTCATATTGTTCCATTATCATGAACAAACATCTAGATCATATGTATGAATATGGGTGGTTAAGATTTGTGCAAAATATATTGTATTTAATATCCAACATCGTTGACGACAAGGCCAAGCTATGAATAATTGGGTAACTAGTCAATACAAATCTCCTTGATATTCATCCGTGTACCTTGTATCTTGTGTTATCTATTATGAAACCATGAAATGATGTGACCAGTGTGATGCATGGTATTTAAGCATAAATATGTTATTGATCTCTCACGTTATTCTACCACTCAGCTTTATGTTGAGCGTGTAGTCTTTTTGTCTACATGTAGGTTGAAGCACAGATTATTTGAACCACCCTGGAGTCCAGAAGACGATGAGACGATAAGATGGCAAGTTGGCATGCATGATTTTCACAAGTATTGTATTTGACGTTTTGGGCTTGACCCGCAACATTGTATTTATATTGTTTAAGTCTTCCGCTATCTCTGTCATTTTGTAAAGGATCGATCTGAATTCAATATGTTGTATTTTGAAGTCTTACTTTATGAATTTTAATTAATGATTTGAAAAATGTTTGAAAAATATAACTCCCGTTTCACCTTAATTCTTATAATTCCAAGTTATACAAATTAGGGTGTTAGAGTGTGCTTTAGCGATATACCTTCTTTTTGCCATTTTATGGTCTGAAGATATTTTGTGAAATTTCAATTTTTTTAAGTTTTTTATTTAAATATTGATATAGAAATAAAAAATAACATTTACATATTTAAAATTAATGTCAAAAGTTTTTTAAAAGAAGAAGTGACGAGAATATTTTATTTTATCAAATAATCGATGAAAACGTTCAAATAAACAAATGTTTCGTGATTTTTGAATATTGAACTATGACATTCTTTTTGTGACGGAGGAAGTGTATAAAAATTTGTAATATTAAAACTTTATGATTTTTATCAAAAATAGTAAACAAGATATTAATGATTTTCTTTATACTTGAAGGATGTAAACCCATGACTGACCGGATTGGTATTTGACTGTGCTACGGGTGGGCAAGTGTGTCGCAACAATGAGAGACAACAAACCCGCTAGGAGGGATCTACCTAGAAAGGACCATTCATGGGGGCGGTCAGAGGGGTAGCTGATTGACTCGATAGAGATTTGGCTATCGATTGGCAAGGCACGACATGACCCCCACTGCATCGACCAGGCAGACGATGGGCAGGTGACAAACGGTTAAGAACATGATTACAGGACCTGCGATACTCATTACGCGTCGGAATCGCCCAGAGATTGGTGAACCATGCGGACGGTAAAGACATGGCTACAGTTGACTCGGAGTAGTTGAGTTCTTCCGGCATGGCTACAATAGACATGACAAAGGGATGAGTACAATAGTTTGTAATAGTATGTTTCCCTCCCCTATAAAATGTAAACACCCTCTTAGAGAGAAATGAGGTTGTACTAATGTATTCTATGTAATATTTACAACCGAGTTAAATGTATTCTCTCACCTATAGCCATTCCAACATTAGCTAGACCCATTCGATTCACTATTTTGGACTCGGTCCAGTATAGCAAACCGACCCCTGCTAATTTACACCATCAACATTGTATATTGGCAAGTGACAATCATGAAAATTTCAATGTTACATTTATATAAGAAGTGCTCCAATATTACTGGAACTTCTCCATTGACTTGAGTTGCAAGAACATCATCCTCCAAGAATCATGAGAAAGTTCACTAAGTTCAATTCATAGCAGAGACGGAGGATTGAGAAAGTAGAAACATATATTATATTATACTCGGATTAATAATGCCAAAAATATACCCTGTAAAAGAAGTACTCCCTCTATCCATGAGTATTTATCCATTTTTTATTTTTTGGGGTCAAAGTTGGCAAACTTTGATCATAAATTAAATTAAAATGATACGGGGTATTAGTTATTGACACGTGAATAATTTTATTCGACTCATTTTATAAAATATTTTAAAATCATTATTTTATCTAATTAATATAGAATATACTCCTTCCGTTCCACAAAACCATTCCCATTTTGACTTTGGACAAAAATAAGGAGTGTAATTTTGGTTGACTTTTCAATTTTGCCCTTGATGTGATGGGAAAAAATAGGATGTGAGAGTTTGGTTATTAGTAAAAAAGTATGATGTGATAGGTAGGTATGAAAAAGTAGCGGTAAAAGTAATTTTTTAATAGAAAGTGGAAGTATTTTGTGGAAAACAAAAAAACAAAATGGAAAGAGTTTTGTAGAATGGAGGGAGTATATTTTATTCAATTATAGGCCAAAAGTTAGAAATGATTGACTACAAAAAATTAAAACTAGAAAAATAATCAAAGAGTAATACTCGGCATTACTCCATATTAAAAAAAACTAGTGATTGAAATTATTTAAAGCAGCTCGCTCCATAATGCTGTGTAGTGTTTTTTTAATATATCATTTTATATACTCCGTATCCCAGTAGTTATTTCCAAAGAATTAATTAGAACAAGAGAGATTATGGAATAAGATCGCAATCTTAATTGATTTAACTGCGATTGGGTGTACTGTTTAAGACCACTACCGATTGATTACTCAAATCTCGAAGCCATCCAAATTCCAAGGACTCGCTGACTTTGAACCACGCTACATTTCAAATCCTCCACAAACTCTATCCGTCCACTGAAACCTGATTTAGGTCTCGTTTGACATGTTAGAGATTTGTTAGAAAAAATAATAGGAAGAACGGATCAAATGCAGAATATAGTTGTGATTTTTTATTGTGAACACCATACAGGAATTTTATGTTCATGGATTATTTATAGACAATAACCAACACAACTATTGGTACTAATCAACACATCTATTACTAACTAATACAACTTTCAGAAATAACTACTCATAACTATCCCTTTTATTTTTAAATTTAAATCTAAACACCTAACTTCTGACCAGGAATTAAACAATACAATTAAATCTAACAATCACCCCCCTAATCGTTGTTTGTTCACACCAATCTTCACAGTAACGTTGGTTCATCATCATTTTCAATCAAATTTGCAATGTCTTCCTTTTGATCCCATTTTGGAAATTCGTTCAAAAAATGCCCTAACTCATTACACTTAAAACACTTAATGTGACTCTTATCCCGTTGAAACCGACCACCATCCCGACCTTTCCCGGACCCCCGACCTCTACCTCGGCCACGTCCAAAGTCTTCTCGGTTTGAGCTCCAGCAACCACAATGCTCACATTTGTGCTCCTGAACCTGTTGGAAATTTTAAATGAATTGGACAGTTTTGGACATAAATTCGGTAGGGTCCACAAAATTATTTTCCGAAATAATTATGGACGTTTAATCTCGTAAGTAAGACGAATGTCTTGACATATGACACGTCATAAACGGTGCTAGGGTGAATGAGAAATTAATTCTCAAAGTTGAATATGAAGGTAGAATAAATACCTTTGTCCCACACCGGTTTCTAAACCTTTCGTATTCTCATATTTAAGCTTAGACATTGAATTGAGCTTATGAAAGGAACAAGAAGAGGACTCCTCGCGCGCCGCCGTCCGGCTCGGCACGACACGCGCGTGCGTCGGGTCGGGGCGAGGCACGCCTGTGGTGGGGCGGGGGTAAATTTTTACGAGACCGAATTGAACACACGTGGACACTTCGTAATTTCGTAAATTACGAAGTGTCGTCAATTACGAAGTGTCGTCCGTTTGAGCATGCATGCACAAGGAGGGGAAGGGATGGCCATGGCGCCTCGTAATCTCCGACGGTCCAACGAAGAGCCAAAATTAATTCCCTCCTATAAAAGGAGGGCTTGGCTGCAGGAGAGGCACATAATCGAAAAGCTCTCTCTCTCTGTGTTATACAAACTTTCCGACTATCTCCCAGTTCCGATCATCTTCTCCGCCTATAACTTCCGTCGTTCTCGTTCACTGGTGCTCTGTTCTACCGCTCTAGACTTAGCACGTTGCGGTTTTATCCTGAGAGGAGATTGCCCACGTTTGCCAGTGCGGGAGGTGGGCAATACTACCTTAAGAATGTTGAATAATACAGCGGGAATAAAATAAAATAAAATAATCCGAACGTCTTATAAGTTCGGATTATTTTATTTTTTTTATTCCCGCTGTATTATTCAACAGAACCTTCTCTTTTCCATCACCTTTAGTGAATAATAATTTACCATGTGTATCTCCTTCCTCAGTTGGCTTTCTGATGCGTTCCTCGCATGCTTTCAATCTTCCCACCGCTTCTTGAAACGTCATTATATTGTGTTAATATCAGCAAACTGTTCAATTGCAGCAACAATCTGTACGAACTTTTCAGGCACAGAACCCAAAAGATTTCGAACCAATCTTTTGTCTTCAAATGTAGACCCAAGGTTGTTTGCTTGTGTTGCAAGTTGACTAATTTTACCAGCAAAATCATCAAGTGACTCATTGTTCTTCATCTTTAAAGTCTCAAAATCTGATTCAAGTGTTTGTAATCGTGCCGCTTTAACCCTATCAACACCAACGAAGCAAGTCTTCAAAGCATCCCAAATTTCTTTTGCTTCAGTAAACTGAGCAACTAGTAGTACGATCTCTTCTGGCAAAGCTTGAAATAGATATGCTATTGCCATATTGTTCTTCTTTGGGTCGATTCTGTTCCTGGTTCGATGACCTCCCAAATCCCATTTACATTAAAAATTGCTTTGATCTTCACGGCCCAAATAGTGTAGTTTGTAGGAGTTAGAATTGGAACCTGAAAAGATAGCGAACTTTTTTCCCTTGTAGTCACACTCTGTTGTCTTCCATTGCACGACTTTAATTCCTTTGATAGTTTTCACAAAAATCTTAGACTTTGATTCCTTCCTGGGTCGTAAGCCACTTGCAATCGACCACCAACCAGAAAACAAGCCCCTACTTTTCCGTCTTCCAAGCCACTAAACGAAAGTTACCCCGCTGATTCGTTTTTCCTGCATTGTTTGGTTGGAATACTTCTGCCAAAGGAAAAAACTAGCCACTTTCTATTCTTGTCCTAGGCGAGGAAGAATCTTGTCGAAGATTTTTGATCTGTTGTCAAAAAAGTCTTTAATGCTCCGTAATACGATCTGGCAGATCTCCCTTTTCTTATACGCTCCGATACCAATTCTAGAAAAAATAATAGGAAGAACAGATCAAAATGCAGAATATAGGTGTGATTTTTTATTGTGAACACCATACAGGGATTCTACGTTCCTGGATTTTTTATAGACAACAACCAACACATTTATTGGTACTAATCAACACATCTATTACTAACTAATACAACTTCCAGAAATAACTACCCATAACTGTCCCTTTTATTTTTAAAATTTAAATCTAAACACCTAACTTCTGACCAGGAATTAAACAATACGATTAAATCTAACAAGATTAACATTAGTATTTTAAAAAGATTATACAACGGTAGTCTTTGACGTTAACGTTTTCAGAATTAATTTACACCATTAAAATTTTATCCAAAACGCTAATGCTAATCGAAAACACTATTCCCAAACAAGGCCTTAATCTAATATAATTGATTTGAATTCGTGTTTAGAGAACATGATGTTTCTTCTTTTTCTTTTTTGTTGGTTTTTTTAGATTTTCAATTCTCTGGTGACATTTTTATTTCCATTTATATCATATTATTTCGAAACATTGTATTTTTTCCGTATATCAACGCCAAAGTTTTCAAACTTTGATAAAGAAAAGTTAAATAAAAAAATTAATGCACATAGATGGGGTATTTTTTGAAAAGCTCACCCCAAAAGAAGCTCATTTAAACAATAACTAAATTCTCTCCTTCCCTAAAACATCCAGACTTTGAATTAAATTTAGTTTGCACATTGTTGAGAAAAGAAATTTTTTTAAGAAAAGAGTAAGTAATTCAGTTTCAATATCTATGTGAAAAGTAAATTAAATTGGACGCATTTATGGACTTTTTACGTAGGAGGTACCCTAACTTTGAATCTTGTAACAAAGGAGTACTCTATCCCATTTTTGATTTGTAACAAAAATATATTTCATTTTAAAAATTTGTAACAAAATAGTACCACATGCCGCAATTGTAAGAATCCAACCGGGGATTGCTGATTATGTTAGACGCCTTGTACACTTTTAGAGGGGGGAGGGGTGAATAGAGGTGTTACCCAAATGACTGGTTTTTCGCGTGGAAGCGTTCTTGACAACTTCTCCATCAAAACTGATGGGTATATCCTTATACCCGACCCGGATAACCAGAAGGGACATGTCAATATATGACCGGTCACTTTTATCAATCACCAAATGAGGTTAACTCTTCGATTGGGACGGGTCAAAAGTTGACCGGTCACTTCTTCTAAAAAAGTGACCGGTCACATTTTGGGCGATAGCCAAAATGTCGCCTAATGTTACAAATGACATTCTAGAAGACCAGAGACGGGTTGAGCGCAAAGAATGACCGGGTAACCTTTGAGAGAAGGTGACCGGTCATGTCACGTTACTTTGCTAACATTGGTCCAGTCTCTTAGGCACGGTGAACCACGTCAGAGGTCAAGGGGACACCCCGCTGCTCATCCGTCACGAGGCACATAGTGAAAGGGATATTTGTCATTTTGCAGGGTTGATTGGATTGAGAATATCCATTTTAGTCTTTGATTGAACAGTGTTTTTTTGGTTGTATTAGTAGCAAGTCTGTGATTGTACAGTGCTTCCATTATCTACAGTGACCTTCCACGAGCTTCATATTTTGTCAATGGATGAACAGGGGAAGGTCACAAATCCTCCTCTATAAATATGATGATATTTGATAGAGGAGGGGGGTTCAATTTTTCTCTCACTAAAGTTCACTCTTGAGATAGAGTAAGAAATATATTTCGGACTGAGGAGATTTATCCGGTCTAGGTCATACTTTGTGTTCTTGTGTGTGTTTTATATTACGGGTCAAGTGTCGAGGTCAAACCCAGTCAGCCCACCCAGCTATATTTACACCATCAAAAACTAACGCACCACAACCAAAATTAAGTGAAGGATAAAAGCAATGAACACACGATATATACTGGTTCGGCCTAAATGCCTACATCCAGTCCCCGAAGCAAACATGCCCGAGCCACCACTAACTAGTCAAACTTAGCGGAGTTTGACAATTCGAATACAACTCAAGAACTTGATTTCACAAGCCTCTTATCCAACCACCGAAGCCTTGATTTCACAAGACTCAAGATTTCTTCCACCTAACATTTGATTTCACAAACCGTTAGAATTTCTACCACTTGTTATAATCTCAACACCAAAAATACAAATCCCTTACAAAAAGTAAGAAAACAAATCTGATACGGGTTTATATTTAGTTATTTACCATTATTATTATATTACTATTATTATTATAGGTAGTTTTATTATTTATGGTTAGATAATTATATTCTTATTAGGAGGTATAATTATATTAGATTATTAGTATTATGGTTTATTTAGTTATCTTGTATGGTTAGGATTCTCTAGATCTACCATCTATATATGTAGCTATTACTCATAAAATTATTATTCAATCAATAAAGAAATATTTCCCTAACCCTAAACTCCCCCTCTCCTCCTTGCCGATCAACGCCCGTCTTCCCCTCTCCTTTCTCAATCTCTTCTTTTTCCTCAATTCTATAGCTCGAAGGTGTAAATCCTTCTTTATCCCGATACGATACCGTATCAATTGGTGCTCTCATTGTTGAACTCACCAAAAAAAACCAACAAAATAATTGTCGTTGTCGCTGCCACCCAATCTCAGATCCTGTGCTTTTGGTGGTGGCAATTTGCGGATCAGTGGCAATATTTTTTGCTTGTGCAGATTTCAAGGTAGCACTCCACAATCCACATATTGGGTTTTGAAAGAAAAAAAAAAGAATAGCGGCGAAGCAATTTCGAAGTGGGAATTGGCAGATTCCTTCTACCACCCAAAGACATAAAAAGTTCCTTGCCAAATTCATTTTTTCCCCCGCCGATTGAGTGGCTACAATAGAGTTTTTTTGCATTGGGCAAATCATTCTCCTCTTATCTATCTTGGTTTGAGTAAGCAGATCAGTTGCATAGAACTGCTTTGCACCAGCCTTAAGGGCATCCAAACCCGTGAGTTCTTATTTATTTAATTTTGTGACTGCCCTGATAATTAATTATGTTTGGAGATTGCCAACCTTCTATTGATATATTCAATGTTAGAGTTGATAATCTTCTTGGTTTAGTAAAGAATGTTGTTTATGGAAAAACTACATTCGAGGAAGGGATATGTGCAATTGACGATTCCGTTGACGATCTTATAAAGAAACTCCAGTCGCTTCGTCATATTAAAGGTCAATTATCTTATGATCTGGACTTATATGCGTTCAACGTAGAAATTTCTTGCTCAATCCAGGATTTAATTCGTGGTTCTCCATTTATGCCAAGTTTGATCCCGATAGAGTTACACTTGTTCAAAAAAATATATGATGAGCGCGGTAAGGAAACTCATCGTGGCGCCACTTTCTCCACCAAATCTAGCCCCTCAGGCTGGGGAGGTGATTGTTCAGATCGTGGAAGACACAACCGCCTACACTGGTTCTGTTGTAGAAAATTCAAGCGCCGAGCCATGCGTCGAGGATGACAGGAAAAGTTGGTCTGATGTCATGGATACTAGTGCTTGTGCTAGTGCTCGAGTTGTTGAGTCAACTTACAAGTTTGAGTGCCTACCCGAACAGTGCCCCGATGGTGTTCCTCTGATTGTGACTGATCATGCCCCTACAAATGGTGTTAATGGAGACAACCATTGGCGAAGCCTCTCTATCCTGAAGAAAGTTTCCCCAGGCAACAATGTGATTTTTTCTGGATGCACAAAGGAATTTGAGACGAGATCTATTGAGGTTATTGTCTTTTGTGGTTCTAAATGTTTTACGCAAGAGGACATCGTTTTTCAACCATTGGTTACATGGAGCAGTTTTCTTCATACTGATGGTGCTTTGGATCCCACACATTCTTTTGGTGCTCCAAGGATCAAGGTGTTTGACCCCGGAGGATGGTCGATGAACGGTGTAATTTTTTTCCGTTCTTTATTTGATTTCGAACTTGAGGACAAGTTGGTTTTCAAGGCGGGAAGAGTGATACGGGTTTATATTTAGTTATTTACCATTATTATTATATTACTATTATTATTATAGGTAGTTTTATTATTTATGGTTAGATAATTATATTCTTATTAGGAGGTATAATTATATTAGATTATTAGTATTATGGTTTATTTAGTTACCTTGTATGGTTAGGATTCTCTAGATCTACCATCTATATATGTAGCTATTACTCATAAAATTATTATTCAATCAATAAAGAAATATTTCCCTAACCCTAAACTCCCCCTCTCCTCCTTGCCGATCAACGGCCGTCTTCCCCTCTCCTTTCTCAATCTCTTCTTTTTCCTCAATTCTATAGCTCGAAGGTGTAAATCCTTCTTTATCCCGATACGATACCGTATCAAAATCACAACGGAATAATTCTCCAAACACGGAGTAGATTGCCGCAAATACAATGAAGTCCTATAGAATATGGAAAAATCCCTCAAATACTCAAGCAATGAGGATAAATTCAAACAAGAAAGGATTTAGCAATCAAAACAATTGCTTTGCTTGGATATTAGGATGGGATTGAGTAGAATCTCTTTGGATATTCAAAGGATGTGTTCTTCTAAGTGTTCTTGGTGTTCTTCTAATAATAATTACGAGACAAGGGAGTTTATAGAAGTTAGAGAGTGGATATGGATGAAAAACATTCAAAAAACTAGTCGTTTGGAAGTTGAAAATGTAAGTTTATTCGAATAAGTTTGCATTTATTCGACTAAGTCAGACGTTTCTGTAGCATGAAAGCATCTGCATTTAGTAGATTAAATTCACATTTGTTAAACTAGCTAAATCACTCTGCAATTAGTCGACTAAATTCAAATTTATTCGACTAAATCAGTACATTTTCAGTCGGGGGAAAAATCACAATTTATTCGAATAAACCAAAGGTTATTCGATAAAAGAGCAACTTCTCCACGCAAAGATTAATCTAAAAGCTGTTCTAAGTGTTGGATTATCAATGAATGAACCTTAGAGATGTCATATTCGTTAACACACATTCTAGGACTTAAAAGACTACCCAACCAAGGAAACAACATCTTCGGTCTCGATCCTTCCACAGATGCTCAAGTCCCTTCTTCACGGGCGGATATGAAATTATTCTCACTAGCGGTGGACACGGTACCGGTACAGTACCGGTACCGGAAACGGTATCGCCGGTTCCGGTACCGTTACCGTCGGCCGGTACGGTCCACCGGTTCCGGGAACCGGTACCGGTACCGCCCAATCCGGTACCGGTTCCGGTGCCCATTTTTCGGTACCGGCACCGGCGGTTCCGGTTCCGGTTCCGGTACCGTTATTATTATTTTTTTTATTTTTTTATTTCATTCTTTCCTTTATCAATTTCATTTTTAAATTTTTTTATTTCATCATTTCCTTTAACAATTACACATTTACAATTTTACATTTTAAAAATATAATAAAAAAGCAAAAAAAAAACAAAATTAGGGGTGGCCGAAACGGTACCGGAACCGGCGGTACCGGAACCGGTACCGGCCGGTCCGGTACCGGTACCGGTACCAAGGGGTGGCGGTTCCGGAACCGGAACCGTCCCGGAACCGTACCGTGTCCACCCCTAATTCTCACATTGCAAATATATACTAATATATATTCATGATAGCACATTGTCCAACAGATTTGCAGTGTCACATTATCAGAGTACAAACTATTATTTATTAAATAAAATATGGAATTCTTATTTTAAAATATTTTCTATGTTTTACTCCCTAGCTAGCAATTTTATAGAAATTAAAGGTAAGTAATTGAGTATATAAGATCCCTATGATGGTGATGTCTCACCCTATGGGACCCAGCCAGGCCATTTTATCCAATAATAATCCATGCAGTAGTGTACATATGATATGGCACCCCAGTACGTGTCCTCGTCACCTTCTTTATTTTATTCAAAAGTTACTCTGTATAGATAGATTGTTTCCTGATACTCTGTGGTCGGTCACTCTTGTTTGAGAAGTTCATTATTTTCCATGTCCCACCATTTTTTTTCTCTCTTTATTTGTGGCACAATTTTTATTGCATTGCTTCGTTCTAAAATAAATTACACTCTTTGAATCGCGTATAAAATTCTGTAATTTTTAAAATATTTTATTTACAAATAGATACAAAAGTAAAAGTTCAAGTCATACATTAAAAAATTTAATCAAAATTTTACAAAAAAATGCTCACAGAATTATTTTATTTAATTAAATGGCCAATGAAAAAATACAAGTAAACAAAAATTATTGAGAGATTATAATAATAAATATTTAAATCATTATGGGAGGAAGGAAGCATGGAGCATTACATTTAATCATATTTGTATGATTTGCTTTCATTTTTATTATATACTCCCTCCGTCCCCCTGTATTCGTGCACATTTGACTTTTGGAACTATTCATCTAAGCACTTTGATTTATCAAATTCTCTCAATGTGTAAGCCTAAATATAGTCATGTGTGATTTTGTTTGATTTGTCTTAACATATAGATTATTAATATATAATTTTTATAATTTTTTAATATACAAATTACAAGATAAAATAGATTAAAAAAGTGCATTGTAAAAATGAAAGTAGACAAATAGACAGAAGGAGTATGATTTTTTATCATTAATATATATCAACTCTAGAACTTTGTTTTTCTCAAAATTTCATTGCAAAAATAGTAGAAGAGAGACAACAATACTTATCCGAATCATTGAAGGTTTGACTTTTGACTTGTGGTGTGTCTTTATTCCATTGGAAATTTTGACTTGAATTTGTCGAGTACCTTTTTTTAATACTCGGTACTAATTAAAAGAATTAGGAAATAGAGTATATGAACCACATACTCTGTACTTAATTAGAAGAATTATAAAATTATTATTTTTGATCTCATCTCTTTTTCTTTTCCCTCTCAAATATTTTTGTAACAAATGAAGTGCTTTTTTAGTGAACCTAATGTAGTCCACATTATTTTATTGCACCTTGTTCCTATGACATTGGTTCCCAATGTCATGGAATGACCCGGGGGCGCTCCGGTGCCCGTTCGTAAAATTGATGGTTCCTACCTCCTAACACCCCCGATAACCCCCCACCCTGCCCCGACCCGAACACACCCCTCACCCCCTTCAATTGCACCCCAACCTAATGTAGTCCACAAGTCGAAATATCAAATTTTATATGAGTAATATTTAATTTATTTAAATTATATTTAATTCATGGTCAAAAAGCATCACAGTTTAACCAAAAAGTTAAACTGTAAAATTTTTTAAGGGAGGGCGGGAGTAATATTTAAATCCACGCACTCTACCATTACATGAGGTTCTTGTGAAGTTCACTTTAAATTTTTTACTTATGTGTATGTGTGTGTGTCTATATATATATATATATATATACCGTTTAAATCTCTTTCTAAAAGTCCTCAAAATCATATGCTAACAAAAGGCTAAAAATAACAACGTTCGTGTACTTTAATTATGCCAATATAATGACTTTCTCTAAATAATATTATATATGTTTTTTTCTCAATGTAGCACTTTTAGTCATTATTCAATTAAATGTTCGCCATCACAAGACATTATAGGCATTATTAAGTGCTATTTAAAAAATAAAACAGTTTAAGTGCTATTTAGGGAAATGACATAAGTTTTAGTACTATTTAAGAAAATGACTTAAATTTTAGTATTATTTTGTGCAAATATTTCTAGTGCATAAACTATCTTTACATTGTCTCTATGACGTTACGAATCAAACACCGACTTTTTTTTCCATCTCTATTGACCACTTGAGTTACGAGAACAAGAAAAAACGTTCCTTAATTCCTTACCCTTTACTAGGAAGACTGGGGGGACATCACTCACATCATCAATATGCAGTGGTCTGTGTGGGCGGTAGCCCTCTCTATCTCACCGGCCACCACCTTCCAACCACCACTTAATAAAAGCCCCCCATCTTCCTCCCTCCCATTTACCCTCATTACACACACACACATATATATATGGAGCATTATTAATATAATTAACACTATTTATCCAGTAATAAATAATCATCTATCTATTATCCTTAATAATTGGTATAGTATGGGAATTCTTGATCATCTTTCTCACAGATTTGATTGCGCCACCGGCCGCTCCCGCCACTACAAAAACAACCGCCGGCAACTTCAGACGGTGGAGGTTCGGGTGAAGATGGACTGCGAGGGGTGCGAGAGGAGAGTGAGGAGGTCGGTGGAGGGAATGAAGGGGGTGACCTCGGTCCAGGTGGAGCCCAAGCAGCACAAGCTCACTGTCGTGGGCTACGTCGACGCGGACAAGGTGGTGGCCCGGGTGGCTCGCCGCACCGGCAAGAGGGCCGAGATTTGGCCCTACGTGCCCTACGGGGTGGTGGCGCACCCCTACGCCCCCGGGGTGTACGACAAAAAGGCTCCGGCGGGGTACGTCCGCAGGGAGGAGGAGCTGGCCCGCGCCTCCTCCGCCGAAGTCCGTTACACCGCCGCCTTCAGTGATGAAAACCCCACTGCATGCGCTGTCATGTGATGATATATGTATTATCTTCTTCTCATTTTTCATTGGATTATTAATTATGGAGTACTAATTAATTAGACGATGTGTTTTGTTTTATTCTATTTTATGGTAATTCATTTCCCAGAGTTCAAACCTTCATTCTTTTTTTTAGTTTTTGGTAATAAATGATCATCAAGAAATGAATTTAACCGGTTGATCACTTGTAAATAGATTCTTATCCCCGTTAAATGAATATTTAAGCGGCAACGCCTAAAGAATTTCGAGTCGCTGGGTATGGACTTCAAGACGAACAATGTGTTTAAATGGGCCACAGACTGTTGGGTATATGTATTCCATACGAATAACTGGATTAAAGACAAACGGATCATTAAGAATGAACATCTAGGCGGACACATTGAAAAACGATGTGGGTCAAAACTTGCTCCAATAGCATGATAGAATTTAAAGTGAGATAGTGATAATTGAATTGGGCAATAAGACACTTAATCTTGATTGAATTTAGAATGAGATAGAGATAAATAGATTGGCAATAAAACATTTGACTGAATCATATTAAAAGATTAAATTCAATTGATTTGTTAATTAGTTCAACTCAAGAGTTTATATACTGATTATTTTACTCTTGGATATTCAATGTATAATCTCAAACAATAGTCAAGAAGTATGAGACCATCATTGTAGTTTTTTATAGACAAAATGGCAATTAAACTCTATGTACGCATTTTTTTAAACAAACATTTTATTAACTTAACAAATGATTAAAAAAGTCTGGGTGAGCCAATCTACTCCCCTAAGCACTATGTACGGAGTATTTAATTTATTATTGCACTCGTGACAAATGGGATTTGTAACAATATTCATTACAAGAATTTATTCTTTTTTCAACTTAATTTTATTAATTACTATACTTTTTTTATCTTAAAATAATCTTCACATTCACTATTAATAAAAGTCAAACTTTATCCGTTTTGTCAGCTCATTTTTGTAATTTATTTGATAAAATAATACTCCCTCCGTTCCAATTTAAGTCGTATTTTTTTATTTTTGGGCATATTTAAGGAAAATAAAAAATAGAGTTGATTTTCAGAAATTGTCATTACTTTTTAGGAGGGGTGACGATGAATGAAAAGATAAGGTGGAGAAGAATGACTTATTTTAAGAGTAGTTTAGGTATTTTACTCATAAAAGTTTACGATATCAAGTAACATACAACTTATTTTGGGACGAAGAAAAAAGGCAAACATGCAATTTAAAATGAGACAGAGTGAGTGTAATTTATAAATTCTAAGGATGAGGGTAGTACCAACAATAGAAAGAGGAAGTTTTTTATACGAATTGAATAACTCAGAATTTGCTCCTCTAACCCTTTGAGCGGAGGCCTTATTTATACATCGAATTTTGGGCCGGTACTCCCATATCATTAGTCAAAGAGGCTCATGGGTTCTCTTAATTACTGAAATGTGCACACCAAAATTTAGGTTTGATTCGACAGGTTTTGGTTCGGTTGGTTTTGGTACGTACCGAAATTTCGATTCTATTTATTGCATCTTCGAAACTCTAGATCACTATGTGGAATTCAAGTTTGTTGTAATTTGTATTTCCGAAACTAAAGTAAAGAGCATTATCAATAATGATTCTTTAAATTTCAATCACAAAATTTGTGAAAAAAATCATTAAAATATTCATATACACTATCGAGTTTATATACTTTATAATTGCAAAAACTAACTGATTTTTTCACATAACCGTTACACTCAGACTCAATCTCACTTCCAAAATTTCTCCTTTTTTTTGCTTCCAAAAATTTCATTATGATTAAAAATGTTTCCAACACTCCTATTTTTGCTTATTTAAATCAACAAAACACGGATTTGGAATGTTGCATAATATTCCTCACCAGTTGGGATATATAACTAGCCAATATGATTATTGTTCGGGTCATTACTGAGTCGTTGACCTGATTCAACCGATCCGACTCGTTAACCCCTAACCAGTTGTTTGTCCGGTTCAACGTCACATACCGCCACAAAACCGGGAGCATCATCATATGAGATCAATAACTTTGAATCAAATCTCTCAAGTCTTAAGTAGTGTGTACAAGGACAGTACTGGAAATATAATTGGGAGTAATATATTCGGTATAAATGCATCTTCCCATTTAGATTATACTCCGGTATTAAAAAAAACATTTGAATACAAGTTTAGACAATTTTCAACCACAATATAATCGAATTCAGCCCGTCCATCCAGCATATTTACTCTAATATTGGCTGGAAAGGGCAAAGAAGAATGAAGAAATGCTAATGATACAAAATACACAGCCAACCAGCTTTGCAAAGCAGAGCTGTGAAGCAAATTGGCCTCTGCATCTTTATTATTGTCAACTCTGCAAAGCTAGCAGGACATAGAACATACTATAAACATCCACACTGACCATTCAAACTTGGACGCCGCGGCATGCACTTCTTGCCTTCTCCGAAGTATGTAGTTTCTTCAACTATCAATGCACGCTGCTCCCAGGACATAATAGTACAAAGAAAACTTTTTAGAGTCTCGCATCGAAGTACTAAAGAGACAAATATGAGTTTATAAGACGTTGGTTTGAGCTCGCTAATCGATTTGAGCTTAATCTTTAACTATGGTTTGGTTCAAGTTATTTACTTATATCACAGTTGAGTGACCCTAACATAACGCTGAATTCTAATCAAAATCGTTATTATGTACTTAACATATGCAATTAGCAAGACTAAGTATATGTGTGTGCCACACACACGTTCTGAATGTACATGCAAATCTATGATGTAGAGTGCCTGGTTCTTCATAATTGCTCCTCTAATTCTTCGGCAAACAAGTCTCATTAACTTGCTCATACATTCATTTTAAGAATAAAACATAGGTAGGTTGAGTAGTTCCTAAATGCGAATAAAAATCAGCGAAAAATGAATATGAAATAAACCATAACAATCTAGGATCAAGTTTCATTTTTAAACCACGTTAGTTGATATGAAATGAACCATAACCTTCTTTCTTACTTCCTATGAAGTTTGGCAATGCATCGGAAACAATCTCTCTGTTTTTTATAGGCTGTGTTACATCTTGACTCCCGGATTCCAACGGAATTGAGATTATACTGGGTTTGTTGTTATTGTTGTTGTATTAGTCAAATATAATTTTCAGGACTCAACCCTAAAAGAGATGAACTAGGGAATTACTTCTCCTGCAGGATTCAGAAACTGGATATAAACTGATAGAGAGTAGTAAAGTTCATACCTTTCCTCTTCCTTCCTTTGGAACCCTTGCCACCAGGCAAGCTCTTGGTCAATCCACACTCAGGTTTCTCAAAGCTACAGCCATTGAACCCTTCGGCATCCACCCGATCGCCGCACTGGACATTACAAGTGTTCCTCAAATACCCTTCGGAAATGTCTAGATCAGCAACGGAGAACTGATAAGCCTTCTCCAATGGCCGCTGGTACGGAAAACACCCGATTTCGCCCTCAATCCTCCCTCTAATGTCCACAAGCAAACACTTGAGCCGGGCAATCTCGGCCTCCAGCACATCCTGACCCTTCACTCTCTTCAACAGCTGCTGATTTACTGCCCTAAGCCTGATCACCTCATCCTCCAAGGACGCAACCCTAGCCTTCTTCTTCTCCCGGTACTTACGAACGGCTTCCCGATTACCCGTGGCCTGATGCTTCTTCGCGTTCTTATCTGCGGATTCCGCACTGTCTTCGTCGTCGTCGTCGCTAGCTGCGGGCACAATTTTGGTGTGGGCATGGTAACAGGTGTGGGTGTGGGTGGTATCCGGGCCGGGCGGGTTGCAAGTGTGGGTATGGGTGCAGGCGTGAGAATCGTCCTTCAGAATATCATTCAGGAAGCTGTCGATGGAGGTACATAGTGGAATTTCGCAGAGATTCGAAGTTGAAATCATCTCTTGGTTGGCGAATTGAAGCTCGCAGGTGTCCATTTTTTTCCCCGATCCGGATTGGAGAGAAACCCTAGTCGGAAGAACCTAAAGCATCCATCTCAGTCCGAGCGATGAAGCACAAAATATTCAGAATGGGAGACGCAGAAACTCTACAAAGCGGCCAATAATTCATGCGGGTGGTGGGGCTATTCTGAGGCACAAAACGTCGCTTTCCAGGAACAAACAAAGAAATCTCTCAATCACCATTTTCGATCCACATGCCTCATAATTACCGAAGAATTAAGCTTTCAAGGCGCCAAAGATGAACAAGTTTGACCCACCAATTATGTTGAAAAATATTGAATTTGTTAATTTGCAATTAAAATCTATTTTAACTCTTCTCAAAAACTGGTTGACCGGATCTGATATTTGAATAGACCTTTGGAGATAGGCTCATCTTTTATAGATTGAATTTGCTAACCACTAAAATTAACTATATAAATGTTAGAAACTTCAAATTTATTTTCATTCAAAGTTTCTCGAACTTTAATTTGCGAAAAGGCAAATTCTCTCCAAATATTGGTATTATTATAAGTCATTTTAGCAATAGCATCTACATCACAATCTTGTTTTCTATTGATGTGTTTGAGAGTGATATTCCATTTCCTCTTTAGCCATCTTCTGCACTCTAAGACAACTTATTGCAAGGGCCCAAAGGATTCTTCATCATAATGAACCCATTTGATAGCATCTCTAGAACAGCTTTGAACGATTAAATAACTACAACCTTTATTCAATACTCATTCAAGCCCTTGAATTATAGCTTTGAACTTTGTGTGAACCACATTATCGTAATAGAATTGGCTCATGAAGCCACTTATCCAGTCTCCAATAGGGTTTCAGATTAAACCTGCACATCTTGCTACCCATTAATTCCTCGGTGGTCGCCATCTACATTCGAAAGCAAGTGATCATTTTTAAAGCAAGTAGATGAAAAACGGTTTTAAACCATAATTTTAATAATAAAATCGTTAGTGGAATTGGTCAAGGTACTAATTTAGTGCTTGAATAATTAGTTTAAACAAATTTGCAAGTGTGGATAAACTCGAATTCCAACTACCAATGAGCATTTAATTATCTTAGAAGATGAGGTCAAGGATACTAAGATAGTTCGGCGAGAGACCATAGGAGAGATTAAGTTTATAGGTTGGATGAAAGCGAGAAAAAAATATTCTCATGATAGGAAGCTCACATACACTAAATTTCCAGAAGAGTATGTCAAGAAGGATGACTTATGACAGTGGAAATCGCATCAAAAGATTTTTGCTATTGTTCGAATAACATATATTCCTCTAGAGATTAGGGAGGTGTGCTATCTGAGGATTCTCTTGAACATTGTCCGAAGTCTAACTACTTACGAAGAAACTTGAAGAGTTAATGGGTTCAATATACCACCTACTATGATGCATACTACGCTCTAGGTTTACTTGATGACAATGAGTACTTTCATGGTTTCAAAGAAGCTAGCTAATGGGCATCTGCTGTTGGTCAGTTAATGTTTCTCTTTGTGACCCTCTTAACCAATGACTCAATGTTTAGACCTTGGTTTATTTCGGAACAATGTTCTGAGTATATATTTTGGACAACATATTCCATCATCAACAACATCTCTTCAGTCATCACGCTATAAATTGTTTAGCCTTTTTTGCAATTATTATGATAAGGATCTTTCCACTACTTACTCTATGTTGTCCTTCGCAATTCTTCAAGTGCAAAAGAAATCATTAGTCACGTTTTGATTGACATATAGATGTTATTGACAACACACAGAAAGAGCCTCCAAGATTTTCACAAAATATCGTACCCAAAATATGTCCTCCACATCTTCCCTCTAAGCAAAGAATTAGCTAATTTATGATGAGTTACATTATGGTCGCACAACATTAGCTAGCGAACTTCATATATTCATGACCAAGATAAACCAAGAACAATACCTTGCTTATGATACCGCAATGCAACATGTTGAAAATAACCAAGGTGGTGTATTCTTTTTTATGGATATGGAGGTACAGAAAAAAAGTTTTGTTGGTATAATTCTTTGAGCCTCACTGCACTTGAAACGCGAGATTTTACTAAATGTCGATTTGAGTGGCATAGCATCCCTCCTGCTATCGAGTGACTCGCGGTTCATGATACTGATAAATCCTAACGAGGATTCTACGTGCTACATAAATCATCCAAGTCTGTTAGCATAATTGGTTATTCGTGCTAGGCTTATTGTATGGGATGAGGCTCATAGGACCCACAAGTATTGTTTTGAGGCATTAGATCAAAGCTTAAAGTAACATCAGACGGTGGGATTTCCCCATCCCACCGTCTGCCGAACAACCTTTTGACGGAGAGACCATAGTCTTTCGTGGTGATCAAATCTATTCAGATCAAATCAAATCCATTGAGATTAGGTCAGACTAGACTTTAAAAATTCAGATGAGATTGAATACGATCAAACGGGGATTACACAAACCAAAGATTAGAATGAATAATCTCTTAATAAGTTACTGATTTCTTGTTGTTAGGTTATACCTTTAAGATCACTCCTGATGGCGTGTGGAACACATTTCCTCGCACTACCTAGTATTATTTTATAAAATTATTCTTTGGAAGATCAATCTTTTAGACAAGTCCTAGTCTTTGGATCGGTTTTCTATCAATCCCGGATCGGTCCAAGTCCTCAATAGGTCTTCTGCTAGTTTCAAATTAGTCCAAATCCCTACAATCTAAGAACCATTTGAGACTATCAATCTTGAATCGAACTAGTTTCAATGACTTGTTCAGTCTCGTGTCTCGATTCCAATCGATCTCGATCCCAACCCTTTTGTTCTTCTCTAGCTATGAGTGGATAAGGAAAATTTCATCTCGTCTAAAGAAATTTTCTAGCTAGATCCCAAACTTGTCTCCTTACAAATATTTAAATCAATACCATGTCTATTAACGTCTATGTAGAGGTTGGAAGTGAGATTGGAGTCCCATTTCAAGGTAAAAAGCATTTTTCAACAATAAATGTATTTTTTTCACATTTTTTGTTAGACATGATAAGTGTCATTTTTATCAAATGACTGGAAACAAAAAGTTCTTTAAAAAGCATGCAAAAGCATGGATGAACTGCTTTTTAAGGCAATCAATTTTAGAATTCAAGAATCACTTAACAGAACCTCATCATTCTTCTAATTGCAGTATGTTAATACAGATTTGCCCAAGTTGAGGCAGGCATCAGCTTTGTATAGCAAGCAGTCAATTAAAACAAAGTGAAAAAGAATACAACACCAGCTCATCCAAAGCCACGGGGGAGCTCTAGAGCTCGTCATCGGAGCTAAAAATCTCTATTTCTATCATTTTCGTCTGTTTCACTTGCTCCTCTTTCACTCTACTATTTCTTCCTTCATCTGATTTTATTCTCTTTTTTTGCACTTCTTGACCTGCCCCAACTTCACTTGGATTCTTTCTCTTATTTGCAGCTAACCTGAGAGAAGTATACAGTTTTTTTGGAAAACCCCAAAATGCAGGAATAGCACTAATTATATGTAGTAAAATGGAGGGAGTTGCAGCATTCATACTATCACTTTTTACCTTTCACCTGGCTTGCTGCTTGATAGTTGATTCTTTGCAATAGAGCTTTTTGATTGTTCTGCAGTCACAGTAAAAAATGGCCGTGATAAATTATGAGGGATGGTTTCATGATGGTAGGGTAAAAAATAAAGAATTAATCACAGCCAGACCTGCAATTTTATTGAGAAACCGAATTCCTTGAGAGTATGTGTTTGTAGTAACCTTCCCTGCATTGCTGTGGATCAATACAATTCTCAGCATGACAGTACAAGACTCAAAAGGTTGCTTGAATTCGGATTCAGAAAAAAAAATTAAAGGTTATTCTTTGGGGCATATCTTACTACAAATTTTGGACAAACCTCAAGGCCTTCTTTAATTGTTCCGTGGAAAACAATTTCACCGGCGCTTTAATCTTTGTAGAGTTTGTTACGTCCGCTAAAGGGTTGACCACATATATTCCTTCGGACTTGAGATCACCCCTAAAAGCAGTCCTCAGGTTCCTGATGATTAAATTCAAATACAAAAAAAAAAAGAAGAATTAGATTTAAGAAATCCTAGGTGGAAACCATAAACTAAAGCCTTATATTTTCCAAGTCAAATGTATTCTAATGATAAGAATGTTACTCACCCTCCCTGAATTTCATTCCTAGTTACAGTGTACTTCTCAAGTGTTTTCTGAAAGAACAAATATATTAATGTATAAGATAACAATAGCATAAAAAACACAAAAGTAGAGAAGTTGAGAGTACTATAAACGTTCTTTAATAACCTGTCTGTGGTAGCTGCAATACATTCCTTTCCGTCTGCAAGTATAAAATGATTTCATAAGTACTGATGCATAATAACTCCTATTACAAACTCATACAGATCTTGAAAGTTGAAACCAACACAACATCTAGTGACTTTGACAAGCACCGTGAAGTATAAGGTTTTTGCTAACAAGCAATGGACTAAATTTAGTTCAACTTTAGTTTCAAGAAATTGGTGAGAGTTCAGAGTGAGTGAAAATACTTATTGATCAATTGTGTGCAGGCCACTCCGTCCTTCCTTTTCCCCTTGCAAATCCCATAATCAGCAGATGTGCCCATCTTCAAGATGTTATTTACTGAATATACACTCAAACAAAAGCCATTCTCCTGGAAAGAATGAAAAAAAACAGATACAGTTCTTACACCTTATGCCATGAAGGGAAAGAATGAGCCAAATGGATCTGATAATGGTACCGAATTATCCTTGCGGACGCCACAATTGAAAAGCGCAAACACGGACCCAGCCTTCTCCTTGTTATTCCTCTTATAAGCATCACCAAATAAGAAGACTGAGACGGTCTTTTCATCCAAGCACCCCATTTTCCATATTCCGTATGGCTTTCCAGTAGAGCTAGTCCTTGGCTGCCCTATCTCAGTTAGGACTCCAATTGTTGCCCAACACCCTGATAGGCTGTCTCCGGTGAGCACATTTCTAAGACATTAAAGCATGAAGTGAAAGTCCACAACAACAACAAACAACAAAAACCCAATAGAATGCACCCAAGGTAAGGTCTGGGGAGGGTTAGTGCATGCAAACTTTACCCCTAATTGGGAGTAAACCCCGGCTTAAAGTACGGGCAAACAAACCACAGTAGCACTAATGAAGTACAAATAACAGTTGCTTAGCTCATTAAAACTATGTTTGGTTGAAGAATTTTGGAAAGAAAAGAAAAGAAAATGGTTTTCTAACATTTTCCTTATCAAGATGGGAGGAATTTGGTTCTCTCCTCTTGACAATTTTGTCTTCTCATTTTCTTTTCCTTCCACTTTTCTTTTCTTTTCCTCTCCAACCAAACATCAAAAATTATTTCCCTCTCATTTTCCTTTCTTTCCCCATTCAATTCCTTGAACCAAACATGGTGTAAAGAATTATGCTTACTTTATTGCAGGCAATCGAACAAATCTGATATCAGACAAACGGTTGCTAAGCTCGACGGGTGAGACTAATTGATCCCTGATCCACAATGCACAATAGAACATTAGACCTCAACTCTCCAATTCCAGAAATACATCTTTTGGAACTTCGAACAATTCTAAAATCCCAGTACAAATGGCTTACCGAATCCGTAAACCAGAAAATCTTTCCACCCCAGGATCTCCAGAGGCCATGGACACTTTGGGTCTGGATTTGAGTTTCTTCTTAGCAGTCTGGGCATCGTAATCCATACAGTCCTGAACGGCACCTCGGAAGACGGACATGTCCGTCTGCCCAACTCTCGCGGGCGACCCGTCATCGGAGAGGTAACCTAATTAATTAAAAAAAAAAGGAAACCGTTCAGTGGCAAATCAACAACCCGATTTCAAGAAACGGAATAGATCTCAACAAGAAAAAACATTTCCCGGAAAGGAGGAGTGACCTGGAGAGTGGGACGATGGAGAAGCAGGGGGGGTTTCCAAAACCCTGTCTTGGAGCGACAGGAGGAGATCCAGGTCTTCATGATTCGACATTGCTTAGCAGCTTTCCGAGATGATGGGATGAAGAAGAAATGAATGGCGAATCGGGGACGAGAAGGAGTGCCATAAGGTGGATGCAGAGTGGGTTTTAGTTCGGTGGGAGGGAGATTTTGAAGTTTGGAGGGAAGTTTTCGGGCATTTGTAAATTTGGGATTAGAAAACATCTTCCCACCCAAAATAACGTACGATATGCGGGCGGACAGGGGATCGAATCATGGGAATCAGATTCTGGTTCTAGAATTAAATTCCCAATCAAACCACAACAAAAATCCATGGTTCAAGAACCAGTGGGGTTCGGGTTCCATTTTTTTGGGAACTAGGTGTTTCGGGTTCCGGTTCCATTTTTTCTTCTTTCTATCTATTTTTTATTATTATAATTTAAGACCTTGATTATTAATATTGATATTTATGCATAGATATATTTTATTAAAAAATATTGTTTCAACGCTACATTTCAATAGAAACTCATTAATATTACACTTTTATCAAAACACAATGTTTTTTTCATATATTAGGATAAAATTTACATATTTTGACCAACAATAGTCAAACTGAAATGCTCCGTAGTGTAGTAAGGCTGCACCGGAGGTAAGGTACAACTGTGTATTACTCATTTTGACTAAGAGATCCCTACTGTATATGTTTTACACGCCTCCAACTTACTCGTTTATTTACTTGAGCATTGTCTAGAGTCCTATTTTTTATTACCTAAGTTGGACATTGGTGTATTTCATACACTAACTTGAGAGAGGATACTAGTGGATATTTTATGTATATGAGCTTAGATTTAGTTAATGGACCATAATGTAAATGTGTGTATGCATTCATTGAATGTTAACAATAAACTAGTTATTCGATCTTCTTTATTGACTTGATGAAGTCCACCGTTCAAAAATAAGGGAGAATTGTCAATTTGTCTCTTTTGAAAGTATGAACAAATACTATGTTACAAATAATAGTAGTTACCATAAATAAATAAAACAACTCAAATTGTGTTAACTTTTACAACAATCTTGTGAGCTATAGAGTTTGTAATGTTACATCACACCTGGCGGTGTCATTTCATGTCAATATTTGAACTGGGATACTTACGGTGATCCGTTTGTAAAATTGATAGTAATCATTCTCTCTAATCTCTTCTTAAATCCCTAGAGGCTAGAGCAATTTCACCCCTACACCTGCACAACATGCTAAAAGCATGGCTAGAATGAGCAAAAGACTTTCTACTGAGGAGGGCTTTAGTAGTTAAGTCATGACAAAAGAAACTAACAACTTGATGTACTTCTTTTTTTGGAAAAGAACTTGATGTATTTTAATAAACAGACAACTAATTGTTTTTAATTAACCATGATTTAAATAATACGGTGTAAAAAAGATACAAGTAGTTCACATTAATTATGTGTAATTCATAAAAAGTACGTTAAGAGTTTTTACCCTTAAAATATGATTTTCAATTCAAGGTGAAGTTTTTGAACCATATGTTTGTATATCAGTTGTCATTTGTGCTCACAAGAAAAATGTAGCATTAGTTTAATAGTGAGGATATGAACAGAAAAGTTTAGAAAAAAATAATAGGAGAATATTTTCTTTGGGTGAAACGGAAATATTAAATTCAATACATCCTCATTACTAGTAGGTATACTTTCCCATTAATGAAGAGGTCAAGCTTTCAATACACAAAAGTATATATGCTTTATTCACCTCAAGAAGTTTAAACTCTCTTTTTATATCCGTACAAAAATATATGAATTAGGGAAGAATGAAAACATGAACGAAAAATAAAAGATTTTAACTCTAGAATAAACAAGCCTTTTTAGGGGTATTTTTGATATGACAATTCACGCAATTTATATTATATAGTCGGTGATACGGTTCCTCTCGTATAGCCGACATCTAATATAGGCAGCGAAGAAGAAAACGTCTGCGACAGGGAAGGATGGAGTGATGAACCACCAACAACCAGGAAACCCAAGTTCGATAGGCGATGAACGCTAGTTGGCGCTGCTCTAACTCCGATCGGCGATGAAAACTACTCTAATTTCGATCCGGTCTTTGCGTAGAAGAAAGAAGGCGGAGCTCTAATTCCGATGGAGTCTTTGCATAGAAGAAAGAAGGCGAGTGACCAGAATGATAGATGGCAAAATTACTTATGAACAATATGTCGTTTAAGAATGAGTACTTAAGTCATTTGAGAATGAGAATTACTTTTTTTCAGAATAAACATTACGTTATTCGTAAATGAATGTTATAATTGTATTAAATAAATGTGTGAAAATGAACACTACGTTATTTCAGAATGAAAACGACGTCATTTCAGAATGAGTAATAAGTTACTTCAAAATGAATATTTATATTTTGTGCGAGAATGCTGACTATTTTACTTCAAAATGAGTACTACACAGTTGTACCTTACCTCCGGTACAACCGATTATATGATATAAGTACTAGGTAATTCACACTCACATCCAAAAAGGCTCCGTAGTGTAGTAAGGTTGCGTTCCGTTCACCTCATCTGATTATTGAAGATCTGGTCTGATCTGATTGCAGTTATAACTAAAGCTGTTTCTAATCTGATCTAGTCTGATCTGATTATAATAAGAATAAGGAATTAGTAGAAAGAAACAAGTTGAACGAAACGTTGCCTAAATAACACTATCATTTTCAAACATCCCAAAAAGAAGGTGTACAACTAAAGAAGTAAAAAATGGTGCATTTTGTTTTTTCTATTTATTACCATAATAAAATTATGTAGCTAGTTTAATAAAAAATAATAAATGGACGCTAATTATTCCCATATTATACCCATCCATTCACCCATCTCTTTCGGACACACACAAACGTATGCTTATATATCACACGCCCAACAATCTTTGCTTTGGGTTTGGAACTTTGATTTTCCCCTTCCTCTCAACGGAATTGAAATATTGGTTCCTGCGCATCACCAGGAACCAAAAAACACAACATATTACATAATAATAATTTCAAAAAGAAAAGAAATATATAAATAATGAGAGCGGCCGCCGCATTATTATCATGTCGGAGTAGTCTGGTGTTGGCCGTGGTTTCACTCCTCGCGGCCGCCTCCGCGCTGGAAGGCGGCCCACGGAGCGTCACCTACGACCACAAATCTTTGATCATAAACGGGACACGGGAACTGATCTTCTCAGGCTCCGTTCACTACCCGAGGTGCCCCGCGGAGACGTGGCCGGAGATCATAAGGAAGGCGAAAAAGGGAGGGCTGAACACGATTCAGACGTACGTGTTCTGGAACGTTCACGAGCCCGAGGAAGGGAAGTTCGACTTCGAAGGGAATAATGACCTTGTGAAGTTCATAAAGGTGATAGGGGAGCAGGGGATGTTTGTGACCCTTAGGGTGGGTCCTTACCTTGAGGCTGAATGGAACTTTGGAGGGTTCCCCTACTGGCTTAGGGAGGTCCGTAACATCACCTTCCGTTCTTATAATCAGCCTTTTATGTACCACATGAAGAGATTCACCCAAATGGTCATTGATTTGATGAAAAGGGAAAAACTTTTTGCTCCTCAAGGAGGCCCCATCATTTTGGCTCAGGTAATTCTTTTTTTCTTCTTCTTGTGATTAAGTAATTACTCCAATTTGTAACGATTATCGATCTTAGATATCAAATATAACGATCAACGTATGTTGTGAGCAGATAGAAAACGAGTATGGCAATGTGCAGCTCGCATATAGAGATGATGGGAAGAAATATATTAATTGGGCAGCAGATATGGCTGTGGGTTTGTATAATGAAATCCCATGGATCATGTGCAAGCAAAAGGATGCCCCAAACAGTGTGGTTCGTTTATATAATTAACTTTTCACGGTTTCTAATGCAACATTTTGTAACGGATGATATTAGTTTGTACAAAATGCAGATCAGCGCGTGCAACGGAAGGCATTGTGCGGACACATTCCAAGGATCTAATGGGGCAAACAAGCCTTTGCTGTGGACGGAGAACTGGACGGCTCAATACAGGGTTTTCGGAGACCCGCCATCCCAAAGGGCAGCGGAAGATATCGCCTTCTCCGTTGCACGCTTCTTTGCCACCGGCGGTAGCCTCGTCAACTATTACATGTACTATGGTGGGACGAGTTTCGGGAGAACAACCTCGTCCTTCGTCACCACCAGATACTATGACGAAGCCCCCCTTGATGAATTTGGTCTCAAGAGGGAACCTAAATGGAGCCACCTTAGAGATGTCCACAGAGCTATTAAATTGGCTAAGAAACCCATTCTCTGGGGAAATCGATCTGTTGAAAAGATAACAGGCGATCTTGAGGTGTGTGTGTGTGTGTGTGTGTGTGGGTAGTAATAAGATTAGTTCACTAGGGAAATACTACTTAACCCAAGAATGACACACAAAGATTGACACCATGAGCGATGAAACACAATCACATACTCATTGTCTAAGAGACACTGGCAACGTCAATCTTGGTGTCATTCGTGGTGCGATTGTAAAACAAAAACAACTTAGTAGAATCCCAAGAAAGTAGGGTGTGGGGAGGGTATGTGTACACATACCTTACTCTACTCAAAAGTAGATAGATTGTTTCCAAGAGACACCCAACTTCTAATTTTTTTTTAAATTTCAGATCACAGTTTTTGAGAATGAAGAAATGAAACTTTGTGCGGCCTTCTTGACAAACAACAACACAAAGAACTCGGCTTCGGTTAGCTTCCGAGGCCGGAATTATCATCTGCCGGAAAAATCCGTTAGCATTCTCCCGGATTGCAAGACCGTCGTTTATAACACTCAAACGGTACGTGTATACATTGCATTCACACCGTGTTTGGATATATATGGGGAAGGGAAGGACCTGATGATTTGAACGGTTTGAACAAACGCAGATAGTTTCACAACACAATGCCAGAAACTTCCACCCTTCCAAAATAGCAAGGAATTTGAAATGGGAGATGTTCCAAGAGCCCATACCTAGCTTCGATGAGTTGCCGATAAAGAACCAGGTCCCGCGCGAATTCTATAGCTTAACGAAAGACACCTCCGATTACGCCTGGTACAGCACTAGGTATGCAGTGCTAGCTTGTTAATAAGTCATCTAAGACCTGAATCAAATATATATGTATAAAACAATATGTTAAGTTGATGACACTATGGAATAACCCTGCAGAATTCATTTTAATCGCCGTAACTTGCCGATGCGGAGCGACATCCATCCAGTTCTCCAGGTTGCAAGTCTTGGCCATGCAATGCTTGGGTTTGTCAATGGCGAATACGTTGGTAAATATATGAAATGCCATATATACTAATGGTGTGATTCTAGCAACCATTTGTTAACTGTACTGCTATGCTGTAATATAGGATTCCACCATGGGAGCAACATTGAGAAGAGCTTTGTGTTGCAGAAGCCCGTCAGCCTGAGGCCAGGGATTAATCACATCTCGCTCTTGGGCGAAACGGTCGGGCTTCCAAACAGCGGAGCCTACATGGAGAAGAGGTTTGCCGGGCCACGAGTAGTGACACTCCAAGGCTTGATGGATGGGACCCTGGATATCACCATGAATGCCTGGTCTCATTCCGTAGGTCTCTTGGGTGAGAAACTTCGGCTGTTTACGGATGAGGGTGCCGCTAATGTAACATGGTCTCCATTGTCCAAAACATTGAAGCCCCTCACTTGGTACAAGACATACTTTGATGCACCGGAAGGGAAAAACCCGGTGGCATTGAGGATGGAGAAGATGGAGAAGGGTATGATCTGGGTTAACGGAAGGAGCATCGGTCGGTATTGGGTCTCTTTCCTCTCCCCGGTCGGGCAACCGACCCAATCCGAGTACCACGTCCCGAGAGCGTTCCTGAGACCGAAAGGCAACTTGCTGGTTGTTTTGGAGGAAACCGGAGGGAACCCGGAGACGATAAGGGTGGAGACGGTGAACCGCGACACGATATGCAGCATCGTGCCGGAGTACGCCCCTCCGCACGTGAAGTCGTGGGAGAGGAACGGGGACGAGTTCCGGCCCGCGGTGGAGGAGCTCAGGACGGGCGCACGACTGAGATGCACCGAGGATAAGATCATCAAGAGGATCGACTTCGCCAGCTTTGGAGACCCGGAAGGCGCTTGCGGGAGCTTGTACGAAGGGAACTGCACGTCAACCAACGCCCGCGAAATTGTTGAGAGGGAGTGCCTGGGGAAGCGCCGGTGCACTGTTCCGGTGGACAGAAATAGGTTCGTGGAGGACGATGGCATCGGGAAGGGCCAATGCGGCGGGCACATCTACAAGACTCTGGCTATCCAGGCTAGGTGCGGACGGGATCTGGAGTAATTGTTAGCTAATCACATCACTAATGTCCCAAATAAACACTTGTCAAAACCAAATATTGATATGAGGATAAGAAAAGAATAGAATTTAACAGGTTCCATTCATTCACTTGTTCTTCCCCAGAAGAGATTGTTATTCCATCTTCTCATTTCTACTCAGTAACAAATAAGTAGTGAAGTGGGATGGGAAAAAAAATAAGAATATAATCCAAAATCCCCAAATTAGCTTCTGATTGATTGGAAATTGAAGGGACATAGCTACTACAATTCGATGAGCAATGAGCTCTGAAATTACCTTAGGGGAAGGAGAAGGGCTTCGTCTTAGTTCGTCTCCCGAATGCCCTGACATAAGTTAGGCTTTAGACACCCGTTTCTTCTCCCTGCCGGCTGCCGCCATAGGCCATAGCCCATTCTTTTTCATAGCGGATTAAAGAATTAAAGAAATCATTCAATTATATACTCCCTCCGTTTTTTTAAGAGTGTTCCTATTTTGACTTTGTGTAAAAATAAGGAAGTGTTAAATTGTAGTTGACTTCCAATTTTGCCCTTGATGTGATGGGTAAAAGTAAGATGTGATGGATTGAGTATTAGAGAAAAAGTATGATGTGATAGGTAGGGTATGAAAAAGTAAGGGTAAAAGTGGTTTTTTAAAAGAAAGTGGAAGTGTTTTGTTGGAAGTAAAAAAAATGAAAGAGGAAGAGTTTTTTGAAAACGGAGGGAGTATAAATCATCGGTGGGATTCTAGTGACATCGGAGTACGGTGTCACTCCGGTGCCACTGGTATTTTGAGGCACCTCTGGTGCTCCGTTCGCAAAATTGACGGTTCCTACCTCCCCTAGCCCACCCCCTGAACCCCCTACCCTACCCCCGCCTCTGCACCTCCACCCCCACCCCACCGTAAGCCCCCCACAAAATGTGTGGCTATTATTGGATAATAGCCACACATTTTGTGGGGGGCTTACGGTGGGGTGGGGGTGGAGGTGCAAGGGCGAGGGTAGGGTGGGGGGTAGGAACCATCAATTTTGCGAACGGAGCACCGGAGGTGCCCCAAAATACCAGTGGCACCGTACTCCGATGTCACTAGAACCCCACCGATAAATCATTCAATGAAAATAATTTTTGGTTGTCCGTGCTCGATGTGTTATGTCATAAGTTTTGATCTATAATATTAGGACCGTGCTACACTCTTGCTATCAACCTTGCCTCCACCCACTTCTCCACCACATATTTATTTCTACCCATTCTCCACACACCCTCTAATTTTAATTTTCTTGTCTCCCTACCACATGTTTATGTAGGAGGACATGGTTGGTAGCAATGGTGGAGGGTTTTTAGCATTTTCCATAATATTATTGAACATTCATCATATATAAATACTGTATATTTTTTAAGTCGTTGTTTGAAGATTCTAGGAAAAATTGAAAAAAAACTAAAAAGGATTTGAAAAAACTAAAGAAGTTAGAGAAAAGTATAAGAAGTGGGAAAAAAATGAAAATTACTTTTTCCAATTCTTAAAAATAGAGCCTAAGTTTTTTACATCACCTTGGTTTCCATGACATTAGGAACCAATATCATGGGATGACCCGGGGGCGCTCCGGTGCCCTGTTCGTAAAATTGACGGTTCCTACCCCCCTAACCCCCCTCGTAAACCATCCCGCCCCGACCCGAACACACCCCCCACCCCCTTCAATTGCACCCCACAAGTCGATTTTAACTTTGGAGTCAAATTTTGACTTCAAAGTCAAAATCGACTTGTAGGGTGGGGGTGTGTTCGGGTCAGGGCAGGATGTGGGGTTTACCGGGGAGATTAGGGGGGTAAGAACCGTCAATTTTACAAACGGGGCACCGAAGCGCCCCCGGATCATCACATGACATTAGTTCCCAATGTTATGGGAACCTTCCCCTTTTTACATATGCTATCGGATATGATTCTCTTCGTCCCCTTTTCTCATTCACCCTCTCTTTCTCATCCCTTCCACTATTTTAATACTACTATTTTTTAACACATATTTTAATTTAAATTACTTAAACTAAAATCTTTAAACTCAAATAGTACCAAGTTAAAAACTTAAAAAAATAAATAAAGATTAAAAACTGTGAAGATTTTTAAAAAATAAACTTAATAAGTTAAAAACTAAAGATTAAAAAAGATGAAGCATAAATGAACGTGTTTTTTTAGAATAATTTAGAAGTATAAGTAAAGATATTTTTAAAGATGGATGGAGTATATCATAAAAACACTTTTTCTGTGCCAAATTCTATTGGTTGTTATGGAAAAATATGTTTTTTTTATCTAAGATATATATGATGGTTTAGGAAAGCAACATTTCTTATAGGGAAGTAATTTTGGATGTCATTAAATCATCTGATATGGAAGTGTGTCACAGTAAGCAGCTACTCAAGCACTTCAATAAAGATGTTTTTAGCAGCGAAAGAAATAATTTCCTTTCAATTTTTTTATTAGTTTTCTCTATTTCATTTCCATTTATTTAAACATCTAACTTTTACTTTTCAAAGATTCTGTGATAAACCTAAGGTCTACATGGTGTTAGAGTATACCCGTAGTATATAACAATCATTCCTGGGCCACAACCATAAGCTTGAGCTTTTAGTTGAGTTGGTTTCTTGACATGGTATCAGAGCCTTGATGACCAAGAGGTCACGAGTTCGAAACTCACCGCCACCCACTTTAAAAAAACTAAGGTTTCACGTGCAAGGCTCAAAGATGTCACGCCTGCACGTGAGGGGACGTGTTAGAGTATATAACAATAATTCCTGGGCCACAACCACAAGCTTGAGCTCTTGGTTGAGTTGGTTCCTTGACACATGGACTTTTTGTATATTTTTCTTATTTTTATTTTTTTTTTGAAAAATATTTATCTCAACATTTTAAAAAATATTTATCTAGCAAATATATGAATGTCTAACATGGACACTATGGACTTTATGTCCATGAAAAAATGAAAACCCAAAATAGTAACTAGCCCAACATTTTTTGGTACGGACGGCATAAATTGTAATTCAACTGTCCCCTAGTATATTAAACAAAATTTCCTTTCACTTTACAATTCTTTTTTATGTTTTTATTAATTAGTAGATAAAATAAAATATTTTATAAACTTTTGATATGGTTTTCTAATATATAATTTATATGTTCTTATTTATATATCAATTTTTAAATAAAATAGTTTCAAAAAATATAAAATTTGTATCAAAATTTTAAAATTATACTTTCCCCGTCCTCAAGAGATTGCCAAAATTTGACTTCTTTGGTAAAAGTGTGGTACACTTTGATTACGAATTAAATATAATTTAAAATAATTAAATATTATACAAATTTGATATTTTAAAACTATATTTTAAAATAAATGTATTTTTACTAAATTTACATTATAACTAAATACAGTTTTCCATAATTCGCAATTAAAAAGTGTTATAATATGACCAAAAAAATCAAAGTGAGACAATCTTTTAGAGAGAGAAAATACTAATCTAAGTTGGGAGTTGAAGTAAACTAGGGGTAGGTGGGGGTAAAGGGTGTCATCATGTCATGTGCTCGGGTAGAGTGAGGATCGGAAGAGTATGTAGTGATGAGTGTCCTATTAAAAACTGGTTTGCCTTTACTACCTACCTCTTTGGTATCTTTCTCCATCCTTCATTTTCCCATGTGAGACCACTCTCACCTTTGGCAAAAGTAGGTCTCTCTCAAGTAACCTAATTTCTGGTGGACAAAAGGTTCAGTAAGTGCACCCTCTAAATAAATTCATACCCTTCGCCCTTCCCAATCTAACAAATGGAGTTAATATGCACTATTTCATATTTCTAAGCTAAGTATTTTCTCCGGAACTTCACCCGTGGAGTGGTACTAAGCCGACGCTCTGAGTCTTCCCTATCTGATACGAGACCGTATGTCGGATAAGGAAGACTCAGAACGTCTTCGAGCTCTTGAGAATATGAGACGAGGAAGAAGAAGAAGAATTGAGGCGAAGGAGAGAATCGGCGAACCGGGAGGAGAGAAGGAATTAGGGTTTTGAGTTTTATTGATTGAATATTCTAAATGAGGTTACATCTCTATTTATAGGAGACACAAGGAAACCCTAGCTAACCATAAACCTAACATGACATTTTAATATATAAGCTAATAAAACCTAAATTACCATAATAATAATAATAATAATAATAATAATAATAATAATAATAATGCTACTCCGTATTAAATATCCTACTCTACTATACATAACAACCGATAAGCCAAAATTTAGGAATTTTTAGTTTTGGGCTTTGATTCCAGGAAAGAATTGTATTTGAGAGAATTTCTCTTGTGTAGTACTCCCTCCGTTCTAAAAAACACTTTCTCTTTCATTTTTTCACTTCCAACAAAATACTTTCACTTTTTATTAAAAAACCACTTTTACCCTTACTTTTTTCATACCCTACCTATCACATCATACTTTATCTCTAATAATCTACCCATCACATCTTACTTTTACTCATCGCATCAAGGGCAAAATTGGAAGTCAACTACAATTTAACACTTTCTTATTTTTCCATTTTTTCAAAGTAAGAACTCTTTTTGAGAACGGAGGGAGTACTTCTCATCTTTGTAATATGAACAAAGAATGTATATATATAGGATCAGAAGGATCTCACATGCTAGGAACTCTATATATAACTAAAATCAATATACATCGAGATACTACAAAAATAATATATACAGAAATACATGAAAATATATTCCTTTCTTTAATAGAGTGTGTCCCCTTCTTTGCGCCACCCTCACCATGCCGATATTCATGTGATGGGGTGTGGTCCCTTGTTGGGTGATGACCGTCCAACCGAGATGGAGAGTTTTCCTTTTTTACTTGTTTCAACTAATCAAAATTATCCATGTCTTCACGTGCTCCTTCATTTTTTGATCACGCTCCCTCTCAAGTTCTAAAGCATATATAATTTTGCACTCGCACTCACCTGCTTACAAGGTGTTTGTGTGGCACCTTACCAAGTCTTGTCAAGCTCGTCATTACACATAGCCTCAAAATAAATAAAATTAGGAATGATATAGTGGTCCAATAGTTCAATCCATGTCCTTGGCCATACATAGTTGGTGGGCAATTTGTGGTTTAATATGTGCGCGTGTGTATTATAATAATGTATTGGAAGGTTTGAGTAGAAGAGTTTGAGGAAGGCCTCTCAATCCCCGCCCCATATATCTCACCAACTCGTTCTAGAAGCAATTAATCTTTCACCGGTCCCCCCATCATCGTACCCACCCTTCCTACCTTCCCAGGCCACTTTTTCTCCTTTCTCCACATCTTCTAATTAATTAATTACTCCCCTAATAAATATACATACATAAACAAATCCCCCACACACACTAACTATCTCCTTCTTTCCTCAACAACTCATCTCTCTTTCTTATCTCACCTATCCATATATATCTAGTTGCCAACGAGATAGGGCGGGCGGCCGGCGGGGGGGCAATCAAATAAATGGGAAGGTCACCTTGCTGCGAAAAAGCCCACACAAACAAGGGGGCTTGGACGAAAGACGAGGACGAGAGGCTTGTGGCTTACATCAAAGCCCACGGGGAGGGCTGCTGGAGGTCCCTCCCTAAGGCCGCCGGACTCCTCCGCTGCGGCAAGAGCTGCCGCCTCCGCTGGATCAACTACCTCCGCCCTGACCTCAAGCGCGGCAACTTCACCCCGGAGGAAGATGAACTTATCATCAAACTCCACGGCCTTTTAGGCAACAAGTACGCCCGTCCTTCTTCATTTATCTTGGGAAATTAAATGAGTACACTTCTTCCTTTTTTAATGTAGGAAATGAAATTTGAATTTAATGTAAAAAAGAAAGAAGAGTAGTTTTAATTTGACTCATAGAAAATTAAAATCAATTTCACAAACAAACAAATGATACCCCATGAAAGGGGTGTTGTATTCAAAATTAAAAAATGTAATGTCTATTGATCATTGTTCAAATTAAATGTCCACCATCACTAGACATTGTTTCCCCCACTAGACATTATTCAAATCACTATAATTTAATTGTTAGGGAGTACATTTGATAATGACATACACCGTATATTTTAGTTGTGCTATTTAGTGCAAATTTAACTAATTTGTTAATTTTTTTAAAAAAAATTTTAAATTAGGTGGTCTCTAATTGCTGGAAGATTACCGGGAAGAACGGATAATGAGATCAAGAATTATTGGAACACACATATACGAAGGAAGCTCTTGATCAGAGGAATCGACCCCGCCACCCACCGGCCGATCAGCGGCGGCCTGCAGCCCACAGATCTGTTACCCGCCGCCGAGAATTATATGAATAGCGGTAAAATTTCGGCGTCCAAAGGAGAAGGAGATGATAAGGAGGTGGCGGTGGTGGAGGGCGGAGATGGGTTGTGTCCGGACTTGAATCTTGACCTCAGAATCAGCCCCCCTTATTTCACCTGCCAAGAACCGCCGCCGCCGCCGTTGCAGTTTGCCGCCGGATCGGCTGGCGGCAGTCAGCGGGTCAACCCGATGTGCTTCGCATGCAGTTTGGGAATACTGAACAGCACCGACTGTAGTTGCAAAGGCTATAACATTGCCGCCGCCGCCGGCGACTGACATCAACGACGGCCGGTGGCTGTCAGTTGGATTCTAGGGTATATTTTTGGGATGCTCTGTAATTTGCCTCTAATTTTTAAACCTCCATAGGAGAGGAGTAATATTTGATTCCAATGGTTAATATATTAAAATTAGTTTCTTTTTTTAATATTTGTTTTAAAATTAAAGTGGTGGACAATTAAGAATTTAAGATTCAATATATGGACTATGGAGTAGTTTTTGAAGTCAAGCTTAAGACAAAAACAAGTCGATTTTTCAAAGGAAAACATAAGGTTTTGCTTTAAGTGGTCGATAGAGGAGGCGAAAAGGCGCAATGTGAGGTTCGATTCGGGAAAGATGACAATTGTGAGATGATTTATGCTTTGCACGGGCTGTCCCACACATCCAATGGGCCTTAAGCTAAAATTAACAAATGAGCATTTAATTCATTAATTCCTTCTCTTTTTAAGTTTTTCAATTTTCACAATGAAATTCAATTCCAAAGAAAAATGAAGACATGCACTAGAGGATTTGTGTACTTTACTTTTTTGAATTAAACTGATTAAAATTTAAATATTAATTAAATAAAAACAATACCATCTATAAATTTTAATTGATTTTATTAAATTTATCTTATAAAAAACTTGCATACTTTTATTCTATTGTATTGTTATCATACAATACAAAATAAGAGTAATTAATGATTAAAGCTTATCTATTTTTACTCAAAAATTCAAACTAAAAGTATACAAAAATTGGAAGGATTATAAGATTTCTCTATGGTTATTTTTTTTGCTTCACCAAGCACCAAAAAGGGATTCTGATATCTGAAGAAATCAAAACTCATACTCACTCCGTCCCAAATTAAATTGCTTGTTTGCTATTAAAAGGGTCAAACTTCATCTACTTTTTTTCTTTTTTTCTTTAGTCAATTGATAAATAATATAATCATGTCACCACTAATTTTATAGATCTTTTGATCTAGTTTTTAAATATGTAATTTTTTTGATTGTACATTATTTTTTATATAAAATGATATGAAAATATTTCAGTCAAACATTCTAAACCAAAACAAGAAATTTAAATTGGAAGGAATATTTCTTTTGCTCACCAAATTCACCCTCATTATTTGCACTATTGCATATTTGCATACATTTGCACTTTTGCTAGAATGCTAGATACAAGATAAAACTCAAAGCTTTACAAAGACTAGCAAATACTCCGTACGAAGCATGAGGTAAAAGTTTGACAAATACTAAATTTTAGTTTTACTTTCAAGTCAAATTAAAATTGTATGAATATGTGGTAAGAATCATTTTTATTAAATTTGAAGTCAAAGTTTACTAATTTTGACTAAGAAAAGTCAAAAATAGACAAATACTCATGGATTGAGAGAGTATTATATTACTAAGTAACATGTACTTTCGTCGCTGTAGTTATTGAGACATAATTATCTTGTCTCGTACATATATACACTAGTTTAATTTTGGTATATTATACCATACCCTAGTGTGTATTTTCACATAATTTGACTAAGATGTTTTAGACACAGCCCCTATGAAATTTTAAAGCCTCATTATTAGAACGTTGTAGTCCTCATTGTATTTATAAAAGTCTAGTGGGGCAGAGATAGGTTGGGGGACACACGCCGCTGATTCGTCACAAATGCGAAATTAGCCTAACACACAAGCTCATGAAGATTCCATCATAAAGCCAATTAGTGTTAGAAATTTTTATGAAATTCAAAATTGAATTTTAAATAAATGGACACAACCCTTTGAAAAGACCTATTATTATTCTTAAATGACATAGCTCTTGAATATTTACTTTGAATTTAAATTATAAATTTTTAAGTAAATGAATGTGTCTCTTACAAAAGAGACACGATCATTCATAAAGGTGCATATCATCCTTTATATATAAAAAAAGGAGAGTTGGGTCTCTAAAAACTTAACATGTGACATGCTAATATGACCTTTTTTAACACTTAACACGCCACCTAGTTTTTCTTATGAAATTAAAATTTAGATAAGAAATATTCGAGTAAACTTAAAAATGGAAAAAAGTCTCTCTTTTTATGATAATATGTTGTCTTAATTCTATATTTTTTTTCTCTTTATTTATTACAAAACATTTTAATAAGAAAAAAATATACTCTCTTCACCTATAAATAAATGTTATATTAACACCTAATAAATAAAATATTTCTTTAAATATCCAAATAAATGAATGAAGTTATTTTGATCATATTTATTTAAATATTAACACCTAATAAATAAAATATTTTGTCACCTAAAAAAAATTGCATTTGTTTTGACACCTAATATTCCACCTAATTTAGGACGTATAAAATGTGAACTTATTGTTATGGTATGAAATCTTTGAATAAATTTAATTATGAAATATGAAAATTCATTTTTATAATATTATTCTTTCCCAATTTAATATTTTTTACTCTCTTCATTTATAATTACACTTTTAATTAATTGTAAAACTACATTAAAGTATATTTTCTTAAAAATTACATTAAAAATTTAAAAGCAAGAGATGATTGAACTATAATTGTGTCACATTAGAAAAATATATTATACATAACTCCATGGTTAGAATATATTTTTTCTGATTTGATTCATCACTAGAGAAATTGTGTTTATAGTCCTTAGATGATTATTATATAAATTAAAAAATATATTATGTTTAATTATCTTCTATTATACAATAAAATTGATCAAAAAACTATGTCACCGTGAAATGCTATGTTCAAGCTAACTTTCTTTACAATTTCAACATCATTGACTGAATTTAATCTTTATATATATATTTTGGGAGTTGAGATTCTAGAATGACGACAGTTGGCATGCTGATCGAATATTTTTTAAACTTCTCAAAAGTCATGTCATCATTGACTTCTATGTATTTTTCTATGCATTGCCTTTAAGGCTATTTTTTTAGGGATCACCTTTACTTCTTCCTGAAAGATCAGATTTTCTCTGTTTCTTCTTTTGGAAAATTGATTAGAAGAATTTGTAGTATTAATTGTTATAAATGTGTTACGTTCAAAAATGTTCTTAAATACTAATTGCTATATTCTTGGTTAAAAATTAAGTATTATATTTTTATATGATACACGCTTTATTTATAAAAAGTACATAACATTTGAAAATTACTCTATATATAAGTTATTTATTAATAAAAGATAGAAAATTGTTTAATATCTATGTGCTTAAAGATAATATTACGAATATGTAAAGGCAAATGAGTTATTCATGGCCCCTAATGCCTTTTTTAAAAATAGGACATGCCTTATTTATATAAAAATGCAAAAAAAACGTATCATCTTAGAACTTAACATTAATTTTTACATGCTTTTGTACTCTTGAAAAAAATCATTAGCAATTCGAGTTTGCAAAAAAATAAACAAACATTAAATTCATATTAAAAACAAAAAGAAATATGTAGGTGAAAATTATTTGAAAGAGATGAATAAATGATATTCAAATACTATTTTCCTAAAAACAAAATAATGTAACCCCAATTTTTAAATATTTATTAAAAAATAAAATATATACTACATATATTAAAATATTAAAAATTATATATTGATAAACAATGAATTTTTATTATATAACAAATGTCTTATAAATATTAGAATGAAAAAATAAAACTCACTAACAGTTTGACTACACTAAAAAATATAAAAATGCCAATTAAATTAATGTAAGAAATTGATGTCGATTAAATTGATGGCTTTTAAGCTATTAATGAATAAAAGGTTTAAAAATGTTTGATACACATGTTTATACCACGAAGGTTAAAAGGCAAAAAAATTATATAGGATCCCCATTGTAATGTTTATTGCATAGCACATGACTTATTTATATTAAAAGGAAAATAAATGATAAAAAGCATTCATGCACACCTAAAATTTTAACATCTTTGATGTTAACATTGTTTTTCAAATACTTATACACTATTGAAATAATCCACTAGCAACTTGACTTCACCAAAAAATAAACGATTGTAAAACAATGTTAAAAAAAGCTGATATTTATTTGAAACGGACAAATAAATCACTTTGGCAGAAAATAAGGTTACATATTAAATTTTAAATAAGAGAGGAAAACTTTGGCAGAAAATAAAAATATTGTATGATTTTCTTATACGTAGAATCATGTACTATTGATATAGAATCATATGTAATTAAATATATAGAACTAAATGTATACATTAAATGTTATATTTTTTTCTATGTATTTTTTAAATAAATCATATATTACTTATGAATACAACATGTAATTTTTAACCAAGAATATAATAATTAGTATGTAAGCCAATATCTTGATTCGGCATCCGTGATGCATTAATAACAACTAATATTATATCATAAATATATCAATTAGGAACACTAATTAAAAATAACTTATTACACATTTATATTATTGTACCAACTTTTATTATTTTAAGAGACTGTTCTTTAGGACTGAAAAAAAAAGCTAGATGTTGGAAGAAACTGAAAAAAACTATAAGTAACTGAAAGAAATTGGAAAAAACTAGAAGAAACTAGAAGAACTAGAAGAAACTGGAAAAAACTGGAAGGAATTGGAAGAAACTGGAAATACTTCAAAAAATTGGAAAACCTAAAAAAACTTTAAAAACATTTATTTTTAAATTCTTGTTGTTATAAATTATTACTTGAGTATTATTATTATATTATATTATATTATTATTATTATTATGATCATCATTATCATGTTATCTTAATGAATGTCTTTAAGATTCAAAAAAAAGAATTTTTACTTTTTAAATACAAAAAACTACTTTTTCAAAAAAGAATTATTATATAAAGTTAGCATAAATATAAAAATATTAAATTTTAAAAAGTCTTTGTGATTATATTTCACCTCAATTTATTTATGCTGTATTTATTATAAATAATATATTTATAATTATAATTTATACATTACAAGATTTTGTTTTAGATATCAGACATTTTACATAATATAATCAAACCTATTTTTTCTTTCATGATTGACATTTTATTTTCATTGAAGTCCTGTTTTTGGAATAAAGACATAGAACTTTTTTTTTACATTTTTTATGTTTTACTCCTATTTTAGTGTTTTCTCTAAACTATTTTGACTTACAATTTTTATTATAAAAATTAG